GAAAACTTCAACAAGTGCTTAGAGCTAAAGGTACTTCGGTCAATCACTATTATGTTTAAGTTGTGCTCAATTGGTCGTCGATATTTTCCACTCATGTTACTCAATCGCTGTCTTCCATTCACCAAAGTTCGTGTAACCTTTCCTGTATGTTATTAGAAGTCATTTCGTTTGATTTCTTCACAGTTGACACAAATGTTGAGTTAATGCAGCACATTCCCACACTTCTCGATGATAAGGCNGTGTAACCTTTCCTGTATGTTATTAGAAGTCATTTCGTTTGATTTCTTCACAGTTGATACAAATGTTGAGTTAATGCAGCACATTTCCACACTTCTCGTTGATAAGGCTGTATTATTCGTCTTTCATTATTTCGTTGCGTTCACAAATGACAACAGTGGATTTATTGGAACAATCTGTCATTATTTCATTCCTTCACTGATTTTTTTATATGAAATGTTTGATCAAACAGAAATTGATTTCGACTGCCGTTTTTTAAAATATGAAATGTTCAGTCTTGAAAAACGTTTATAAACAATCAATTATAAGAATTTTCGTCCAATAAGTCGTCAATAATTTTCAGTCTTCAATAATCACAATGCACACCATAGTAGTTCACCAGGTCACTTCGACAGAACCGTTCCTTTACATTTCCTGAAACAAACACATTGTATGAGCAGTACTGTTTCGGCTCTCATTTTCTAAATTCGATTCAGTTTTGCTGACCATCGAATGATATTCCGGGGAGGTTCTTTAATTGAGAGTTCAGGCATAGTTCATTTCACCATCCTCAAGCGACCTCCTTTCAGCACACAATGCCAGAAGAATGATGTGATTTTAATCGAAAGCAGAATTCAGAAATTTTTAAAGTTATCCTCAGAGACTATAAGCTGCATGCATGTGAACGAAGTATTACAGCCAAACGATTGAAGAAGCAACAGGCTAACACAATGAATCTGTATAATCTTTTCACTCAGCAGTGCATTAACTTTTTGGCACGAGTGCACTAAGCAGTTCAATCGGAAATGGAAATATTATCGTTGAATTCTTCTCGGCGCTGAAACAACAACTGATTACATTCAATTTCATCAAATAAGCAAATGCTTCCATTTGGTAGATTTTGATCAGATATAAATACGCACATGAACATTTAAAAAATCATTGAAAAATAACAATGAAAGAAATGAAAGAGTTGAAAATTTATTCGGAAGTAAGCCTCGAAGGCACATGGAATGTGATTGTAAGTGTGAACGGATACGAATTCGAGAAAATAGCTGTTTCATTTTAAAAACACAATTAGATCTCGAGAGCAATTCACCTGATAGTATTCAGCGTTTGTAAATAACGTAGTTGAAGAGCTGAAGGCGATTTGTTAATCAAGTTAGCCGCTTCACACAGTGCGCGAGAGGCCTGTTGCTCGCCTTCGGCTGCGATCACCTTCAAATGATCT